CCCGCGCCACCCGGGGCGGCCTTCCCTCCCCGCCTGCACCTCGCCACGATCCTTTCTTAGTACTGTCCCTCCGGGCCCGCTCACTTTGTCACTCTTGCTTAAGCTAAGTCTCCGCTCTCCGCGGGCGGGGGTCATCTGACTGCTCTGCCACCTTCCTGCCCCGAGGGGGCGGCTCTGGCTGGCGGGGTCTTCACAGGTCTGTGCTAAGGCCACCCCACCGTGCCCGCCGAGGTGCGGCTGCCAGACCAGGGGCGGGGGAGGCCCTCCGTCCTCCTCACCTTGGCGCTGTGGGACCGCGGCTCGGGCAGGGTCAGGGCGTCTCTCCAGCTGCACATGAAGGACAGGTCAGGGCCGTCACTCAGACCCAGGGGGCCGGTCACAAACAGCGTGGGGCGGAGGGGGCTGGGGAAGTCCATGCTGGAAAACAGGGACCGACAGACACCTCAGACTGGAATCAGAGCACGGTGTCTGGGGACAGCGTGACGCCTGGAGGGGGGCGTTTTGAGGGACCGGACGATAAAGCCACGTGAACGCGGCCTAGTGCCAAATCAGCCAGGTGGCAAGGGGTCAGCCTCTGTCGGGCCTCCGCGCCGTAGTTACATCCTGGCCTCAGGCTGCCCCCGCCCCGACTGAGCCGGCCCCCCAAACCTGCAGGGGCTGAGTCTCATCTGCCTTCCCACTGCCAAGCACAGGGCTCCCGGCAAGGTGCCGTGGGCTGAGTGAAGGCAAAGTTACCAGGGAGTCGGACGGCGGGGCAGTGGTCAGACAGCGGGGCGACGCGCACCCCCACAAGGTCGCCAGCCGTGTCCAGGGACCTCCCGAGTGCACTGGGGGCACGCGCGTCCGTGATCTGGACTGGCGGGAGGCAGGGCGCTGTCTCTGTCCCTCTCACTCATGGGATAAATAAAAACATGTAAAAAGTCTGTGTCAAAGGGTTTTGGTAAGGAGTCCTCTAGAAGTTTAAGCGGCCACATCACCCCTCTTCTTTTTCTAACTGTCAGAGAGCGCGTCCACTCACCAGAGAAGGGGGTGGGGGGAAGCACCCCCTAATGGGGACCATCACGGGGCAATCCTCTCCCTTCCATTTTTCCATCGGGATTGGGCCACCGGACCATTGCAGTCCGGCTTGCTCATCCAGCCACAGTGGCGTGAACCCCGCAC